AGAACTGACTGCCTAAGGCTACATAGTGAGTGGAAGAGCATGATGAATGAATGAATGAAGTATTTATTAATGATTAGTATGTGCAAAGTCTGAACTAGGTGCCAGAGATACAAACAGAAAAGTGAGACAGATCCTGTTCTCAAGGAGCTCATGTTGTATTGGAGGAAAGGACACATAAATGAAGGTTTTAGCTGCAAGTTAGGTGGAAGAGTCCTGTGGTCCTTAGGATGTAGTGGCAAAACAGATGATAATGCTTCTTTTTAAGTGACTTTTCCACTGGAAAATATCATCAGTCAACAAGCATTTATTAAGTGTCTATTATGTGCCAGACATTCTGCTCAATGCTGGGGATACAAAGGGGGGGGAGGGAAACAGTTCCTTGTCTCAAGGAGCTTACAGTCTAATGAGGCAGATGATATGAAAACAACTATGTATGATGAAGATATGTCCAGAATAAACTGGGGATAATTTCATAGGGAAGACATTCAAATTAAGGAAGATGGTGTAAAGCTTCTTATAGAAGATGAGATTTTAGCTGAAATTTGAAGAAAGTGAGGGAATTCAGGAGGTAGAGGTAAATGAGAAGGGACAGTATTACAAACATGGGGATTTCAAAGTTGGAAACCAACTTTCAGGCTTATGCTCTTTTGACTATACACTTTTTTTATAGGAGAACAAAATACATGAAATGGAGATGTGTGGGACAGAGAAAAAAATTCTGTTACTTAAAATTTTTTTACCAAAGCTACCCTACAATTAAGTAGTAGGAAATTAAGGAAATCTGCCATATTAATCTATAAAAAGAAAATGAAAAAGGAGGAGAAGTAGAAGAAGGAGGAGGAGGAAAAGAAAGCAAATGGAAAGGAGAAGAAGAAGAGAGAAGAAAAAGGAGGAGAAAGAGGAGAAAGAGAAAAAGGAGGAGGAGGAGAAGAAAGCAAAGGGAAAAGAGAAGAGAAAGAAAGAGGAGAAGGAGAAAAAGGAGAAAGAGAAAAATAAGGAGAAGGAGGAGGAGAAAAAGAAGAAAGGAAATATGATCTAATTTCTATATTAGAAATAGATACAAAGAGATGTTGAGATAGAGAGATAGGTGAATTGAAGACAGACAGAGGGATGATAGGCACGTGTATAAATGATAGATTGATGGACAGATAGATAAAGAAATAGGTAGACAGGCAGAAAATAATTAGTAAAACAAGACTGCGACTAAGAACATAAATTTAGATCTTCTGTTTCTAATCAATAGGCATAAACAGTATGTCATTCAGGATCTTGAAAGATTTAAAAAATAGAAATGACTTCCAAAGTCATGCCATCCAACTTCCTCATTTTATAGATGAAGCTGAAAGAGAATAAGTGATTTTTTTTTATTATGTCATTCTCAGAGTTTTAACAAGGACAAGGCAACCATTGCATTTCCCCAGTATATTGAAATTTATGTGGTGCTGACAATGTTAGCACTCTTCAGTGATGAAACAATTAAGCTTAACACCTAGTGACTAAGAATAATTGGTTGACATTTTGAAGAGCAATTTGGAACTATGCCCTAAGGGCTATAAAATGTACATACCCCTTGACCCAGCAATAGCACTTCTAGGGCTGTATCCCAAAAAGATCATACAAATGGGAAAAGGACTCACATGTACAAAAATATTCATAGCAGCTCTTTTTGTGGTGGCAAAGAATTGGAAATTGAGGGAATGCCCACAAATTGGGGAATGGCTGAACAAGCTGTGGTATATGAATGTAATGGAATACTATTGTGCTATAAGAAATGATGAGCAGGCAGAATTCAGAAAAATCTGGAAACACTTGTATGGACTGATGCTGAGTGAAGTGAGCAGAACCAGGAGAATGTTGTACACAGTAATAGCCACATTGTGCAATGACTAACTTTGATAGACTTAGCCCTCCTCAGCAATGCAAGGATCTAAGATATCTTCAAAGGTCTCATGATGGAAAATACTATCCACATCCAGAGAAAGAACTATGGAGTTTGAATGCAGATCGAAGTACACTATTTGCTCTTTTTTTTCTTCTTTTTGTTTCATTTCCTCTTTCTTGTGATTGCTTCTATTAGTTCCAATTCTTCCTTACGACATGACTAATGTGAAAATATGTTTAATAAGAATATATATGTATAGACTATATCAAATTGCACACTACCTTGGGGAGGGTGGGGGGGGAAAATTAAAACTCAAAAGCTTATGGAAGTGCTTGTTGATAAATCAAAATAAATTAATAAAAAAGAGTAATTGGTTGAAATACAAAGCTGTGATGCTTACTCTTCATGCTTGGCCCTGTGCTAGGCAGGTTCCTCTTTGGTCCTACTTCATCTTCCTCTCCCTGCCCTCTTACTGTAGCCTCCTCATCATTAACATGGTTTGATGTAGCATCCCTGCTCACTAGGCTGGTGTAACCAGGTTCCCTAACTCATTCTTACACAGTTCCATATCCTGAAATCTCTCCTGCACCATTAAACAAATTTGACTTTAAACAGCCAATTTCAAGAAACATATCATACTACATGTCCTAGATATATTTATGCTATCTCTTCTGGTTATCAAAATGGCTATTGATGGATCTGATCAAGATTCTACTCGTTAGTCACATCATATTTGAAAATGAGAGACAATTTTCACTACTCCTACCTTATCCCTTGTCTACTATTCCCTCATTACTTCCCCATATATTTCCCCTTCCTCTAATCAATAATCAATAAACATTTATTAAGCTCCAGCTTGGAATATAGAAAGAGACAAAAGACAGTCCCTGCCTTCAAGAAGCTTACAATCTAGTGTGTGGGATGATAACATGCAAACAAATATATGCAAAAAAAGTTATATACAGAAAAATAAGAAATAATTAGCAAAGAGAATGCACTAGAATTAAGAGGGTTTGGGAAAGGCTTCCTGTAAAAGATGAAATCTTAATTAGGATTTAAAGGAAACTAAGAAAGTCAATATGCAGAGTTGAGAAGGAAAAGCATGTGAGACAGTGAAAGAAATACCCAGAGCCAAGAGATGGAGTGCCTTCCCTCCAACTTCTGAACACCTGCATACATGACACTTTCTACTATCAACAGGTAAGATAAGACATGGGGACTTCATTAGGATACCAGGATATTTCTGGAGTATTCATAAATTCCATCACTAATCAGTAAGTCTTTAGATTGTGTTTGTATTGAGATTTTACTCATTTAAATTAGCTTCCACCCTCTAAGACTTTGGTGTGTTAATGTTTAATACATTATCCCTACACATATCAACTTGGTTTTTGAACAATAGTGTGGGAAACTATATCTTATCTCTCTTGGAAATTTCCATATATTAGCTGACACAGGGATAGCAGCATTGAGGTGATTAACTAAAGATTAGTTTGTGAATAGAAGCATCATCATAAATATAGTCTGTAAATGTACTGATAAAATTTAGGACCCTTGATTTAAAACTTTAAGAGATCTTAAGCTCACACCATTGTTTTATGGAGGATTAAACTAAGGCCCAGAGAGGTTTTGTGACTTGCCCAAAGTCACACAGGGAGTAAGTGGAAAAGCTAGGATTTGAACTCACATCCTGTTGCTCCAACAGCCATGCTAACTACCCCCAACTCATCAAATTGAACACATAAGACTTTCTGTCTTGTGTGAAAAGATATCCTTCTCCCAAACTGATTCTCAAATTGTCTTGCTTTTCCTTGGCTGAATCATCAGGTGTCAATTAGCTGACAATATACAAGAGAAAAAAATGACAAAAGGAAAGAATTGGTAGTAACGTATAGCCTCAAGGTCAAATCTTAGATGTCTATTAGAAGGTTTGCCAAATAAAAGCACTGGATGAAAGCTGGCCTCTTCACCTCAAAGGCTTTTTGCCATGCACCTGGTGCTTTCCCTTCCCCCATATGAGTCTTGATCTGATTAGACATGCAGCAAAGAGCCAGCCAGAAGAGCAAACATACATATTCATGCCTCCAGTCTAGTGGAAAATTTTATGATTCTACTAGTCTAGCATCCAATCATGATGTGAAAGTGAATACAAGGCCAAACTGATGGTCTTGGCATTATTTGAATTCATGATGTTTTGGAGTTGAAAGATGAAACTTTAGTCTAGAGAACATAAAATGTGAGCCCTGAAAGTATTCTTAGAACACTGAACATTAGAACTGGAAGGAAGGGACCTTAGAACAAACGTTAAGAACAAAGGTGACTTCAAATGCTGTCAGTATTAGTACTGTAAGGGACTTCAGAGCATTGAATCTTAGGTCTCAGAGTGTCAGAGCTGTCCTGATCTTAAGCATTGTCTGTTTCTACTACATCTCATTTTGCAAAGGAGGAAACTGAGAGCCAGGGAAAGAAAATGATCTTTCCAGTACTGCACATTAATGAGAGGCAGAACCAAGCTATATAACCCAGGTCTGCTGGCTTCTAGTTTAATTCTCTTTCTTTATAACAATGTTAATTCTCTACTAATTGAGTGCCTAGGCAGTTTAATGTAGTGGAAATTCCCCATTGATTTGGAATGAGAGTACCTGGGTTCCTCTTTAAACCTATGGCAGATGAAAGAGTTATAAAAGAACATACTTAGGTTGGCATAGGGAGAGGAAAAGGTATTCACAGTCTATTTGGAAAGACAAAATATGCACACGTCACATCAGAGATCAGAGAGTTCAACTTTTCATGTTATAAATGAAAAGGGTTAGCTATGTAAGGGAAACTGAGGCCAAGAGAGCTTAAGGGGGTTGCCCAAGTTCAGATGGATTCCAAGTAGCAGAACCAGGATCTCTAGTCAGGTACTTTATTCTGTATCCTGTGCTCTTTTACTTCAGCTGCATCACAGAAAGGTAGGATTTAATTCCTGCATATTCGCAATACAGAATATATCCAGCTGGGGGATGGGCATGAATAATGATCAAAGAAACACGGTAAGAAAGAGAGGGAAAAGTAGTGAATATTAATTATTTATTCATATATCGCTTCATCCAGTAAGCTCTTATTGTGTACCCACCTCTTTATAAGTCCCTGTGTTCTGCACCTTGGTATAGGAGATATGTTGATGGGCAAAGAACAGTAATTACTGACATTGGACTTCAACTGTCAGAATTTCCCTTGTCTTCCACACAAATGCTGGGGAAGCAGAAGATACCATATTCTACCTGGACATTATGATGATTTCTTCTCTCTCTACAAAAATAAAGTATGATGTCTTTGATTACTCTTCCTTTCCTAGGTTCTTTCCTTTTATAACTGAAGTCTTGGTTGGTCTACTTCCATTTGTGTGGATGCCTGGCCTTGTTGGGGCTTTACCAGGTGGTGGAATGTTTCTAGGATACCACATAAGAGCTCAGTGTGATTTCACATAAAAGCAGTTCTGTCAGAGATACTTAGCCTCTGAGGTGGACTTGGGTAAATTATGGGTTAAATGGGTTCTTATGGGAAGAATAGGAACCACAAAACACACAAACAAAAACTAATCAGTACTTAATTACTTGACAAGTGTGATATAGAGGGGTTAAATGTTCAGGTATGGGTTGTACTCATAAGCCTCTAAGAATCCTTTCAACTAAGAAAATCTGATTCTTTGACACCTTGGTTTTGAAGTGCTGCAAGACTTGGAGTCAGAAGATTTGTGCCCCCAAATCCTTGAGTTTTGTTACCTTGGTCAGGTTACTGCAGTTACTTTGACCTTATTTTTCCTATTTAAAAATGATTAACCAGGAGAACATTGTATACAGTAACAGCCGCACTATGGACGACTGACTTTGATAGACTTAGCTCTTTACAGCAACACAAGAATCTAAGACAACTCCAAGAGATTCATGATGGAAATTGCTATCCACACCCAGAGAAAGAAATATGGAGTGTGAATGCAAATGGAAGCACACTATTTGCTCCCCTTTTCCTTTGTTGTTTAGATTTATTGCTTCATTCTCATGGCTCCTCCCATTAGTTCTAATTGTTCTTTACATCATGACTAACTGGAAAATATGCTTAACATGAATGTATATGTAGAGCCAATGTGGGATTGTACGCCTTCTTGGGCAGGGGAGAAGTAGAAGGGGGAGAACATTTAAAATTCAAAATCTTATGGAAATGAATATTGAAAACTAAAAATAAATAACTTTTTAAAAATGTTTAATTCATTTCTAAAGCACCACGAGGTTTAAAAGGTATTTTCCTTACCCAAGCCAGCATTAGCCCCATTTTATAGATGAGGAAAGTGAGGCTCAGAGGGATGATATGATTTTGTGGATGCATTATGGAATTGATAATTGTTAGAGTTGGAATTCAAAAGCAGATCTACCTGCTTCTGGATCCAGAGAGTTATCCCCCTTACATAACATTGCCACCACAGCCAATGATGGAGGAGAAAAAAAAAATTCAAAAGCTGACAAAAAAAATTCTGCTATGGTTTACTATTGAAAAATGGAGGTTTCAAGTGATGGTTCTGAGGTACAAGGGAAGAAGAAACTCTCTCTCTCTCTCTTCTCTCTCTCTCTTCTTTCCTCTTCTTCCTCCTTCTTCTCTTCTTTCATTGCCTCCCCCTTATCCATACCTCTCTCATATCTCTCCCTTGCTCTTCCTCCTTTCTCTCCCTCCTTTTCTCTCACTACCCTGTCTCTTTTCTTTTTGTCTGTATTTGTTTTCTCTCTGTCTCTTGCTATCTCTGTCTCTATCATTCTGTCTGTTTCTTTGTCTTTCTGTCTCTGTGTTTATCTCTTTGTCTTTCTCTGTCTCTATTTTTCTTTCTATCTCTATCTGTCTTCCTTCCCTCCTCCCCATTGCTCTATGATCCTACAATAATAAATGTTAGAATTAGGACTTGGAAGCAGATATTTCCTTATTTCAGTCTAGCATTTTATCATTAAATCATACTTGGAAAAGAGGTAGTCTGTAGTAATAGCCAGCAATAAGAAGACGAGGGGCAAAAAAAGTGTGCCCCAAAGGCAAACCACCAATTGGACCATTTTGTTTTAGACTGACATTCAAGGTAAATCATACTCATACACCCCTTGGACTGTTTAGATGACTTAAAAACTTTTTTTTTTTTAACAATGTTGCAGATAGGACTCACATAAAGAAAGAGATGGGCTAGATGATTTCTGAGGCTCCTTTCTAAAACTGAGTTTTTATAGGTATCTATGATATTATGATTCAAAGGTTATGTGGGCCTAAAATTCTGAGTCCATGTTTCAAAAATTCTGGTTCTAAAACTCTAAATTTTATTATGTTTTTGATTAAAATGCTATAATTCTTTTAAAGTTTCTTATTATTGTCTTTCTATATCACTTTCGTTCTCAAATGCATCCTTCCTCGGCCCACTTCCAGAAAGCCATGACTTTTAACAAGGAATTTTAAAAAAGAGTAAAGAAAAAAATCGATTTCCATAAAACTAACCAACAAATCAACAAGTTCAATATGATATCAAATTTTCTATGGCCCTAGTCCCCTAATTATATTATTATTGAGACCTTTAAAGGTAAAGATCTCAGTTTCTAAAATTCTGTGTCTCTGGTTTGTAAGATTCTATAATTCATTGAAGATTCCATTTCCAAGTTTTGCTGTGAGCCTCCTTCCCCTCCCCTCTCCATCTCTGCTACCTTGTTTCTTCTTCTCTTGCTTGCCCCTCTTTTCTTTGACTCTTAAACATATATTATCTTGCTTTTGTTCCTCTTGCTGTATCTCTGACATCCGGATCTTGTGTGAGCACTTCAGGAATCAGGGCCTCCATTCATCTCGGTGGGTGACAGCTGACAGTGGCAGCGTTCAATTAAAATGCATGGGAAAGAGATGGGAAGTTGCAAAAAAAAAAAGTCTAATTTTAGTCTGACTACTAATTAGCAGAGTAATTAAAACACACACGTAAAGTTGACAGATACATGCAATTCCAGCATTCTTACTCTATCTCTTCCCGTTCTGAGTACCATTGATTGATGTTCTCCCCCACCCCCTCCCCACCTTCTGTTTGGAAAGCCCAGAGCTCCTTGACACCTTTGGCAATGAAGATTTTTTTTCCTTAGCAAATACCAAGTCCCCAGTGCCTCAGCAAAGAATCTTAAATATACATATGAAGAAGCTAGGTATTAAAGGGTTCCTGACCATCTGGTACATTTCACAGGTTGTAACCAGCTGTCACCCCTAGATAATGTAGTCTATAATAAGAACTCATATGTATACAGCATCATATGATTACTACTATCTAACATTGTACCATTCCTCCATCTCCATCACTGGGCTATTGATTTTTCTATTTCCATTCTTCTTGGCAGGAGAGGAGTAGCTGTTCAGGGGATTCCTGTCCAAGTACTGATTGAGATAATGATTCTTGAGGTCCATTCCTACTCTGAGATTCTGTGATTACGTGATAGGGTCTGATTCACCTGGACTTGGATATTCCTGATTTCAATAATGTAAAAAGCTGATTGGAAAATGGCCTCACTTGAGATATTTTAAGGCAGCTGTTTCAGGATTTTACTTCTGGGAAGCAGCAATGTTAACCAGATTTGCCATAAAGGAAACAGAATACATGATCACAATATACTACAATGATGTCGCCACTTGACCTCACAGACATATTAATGGCTTGCACACAAGTACGATTCATTCGACACACCATTCATGGACATTTATTAAGTCCTACTATTCGTGATCAAAATTGTGGGGGTTCTGAAAGTCAATGTAGAAATACATCTTGAACACAAAAGCAAACTGTAGTGTATTATCAGGGATGACCAGTATGTAAGCTGTGTTCAAGCCATCAACATGGAAATAAATGGTCAGAAAAAAAAGGAGTGCACTGGTTATGATTGGGGGCTGAGATTAACTGGTGAACAGAATGAGTATTACAATGATACTCTAAAAAGATTTTAAAAGCCTGGGTAAAGGTCTTGTGTTGGGTAGAATCTCTGTTAAGGATTTATGGTAGGAGATAAATAAAACCATGCAAATCAAGAAGGTATGTATAGGTATGTATGAATGCATTGCTGGAAAGAGGAGTACTCCCATTGGTGAAATCATGACTTAATTTAATTATAATTACAGAGGACCTCCCATTTAGAAAAGTTACCCTAGGTTTAAAGTGCTTTGTGGTCAGCACTTACTCTAAAGCACAGCTCATAAGTTTCTACCAACATGTTTATTTGACTAGCTGGTCAGAGGACATGTTAATTCAAAGCTAAGACATGTAATCAAACAGTCTGTCTCCCCATGCACCCATGCTTAATATAATACAAGATGCATTCTCAGTACAATGCTAATGGGGGAAGAGCACAATAGATGATCAGAGTACTCGGTGACACATGCTTAAGGAGCACATGTAGCATAGATCATGCATCAAGTGGCATACACCAGCAAATTGTGCAGTTAAGGCACATGCATAAAGGCAACTCATGTTCTACTCTGTTATATTTACCAAGTTTCTATCTCTGTCTTTCTCCACCATCCTTGCCCATCTCTGTCTCTACTCCTATCTAAAAGTTGTAATTTCACCAGGAACAGTTAGTGGCTCTTCCCTTTCATCTATAAAGATCTGATGACTAGAAAGTCTTTTGCTGATGAGGGGACTCTAACTACTCTTTAGTCCACAGCTATGAGCCACAGGAAGTCGAACAGAAGTCAGAGTATGCCAGGCTTACATTGTTTATTTCTTTTGACTGCCCATTTCTGGCACTGACATGAATTGTATTGTCCCAGGCAGCTATCTGATCTTGGATTACAAACTCCTTATAACTCTCAATTAACCCATTACAGAAATACTGTGTTCCCCAAGCTGCTATTTTTGAGTTCTGCCAAAAATGCTGTACATGATCTAAGCAGGAGTCAAACAGTAGAAGTCATTTGTTCCCCTAGTACTCTTATATTGGTATGCAAATTAAATTGGGCAGAGAAAAAAAAAACTAAGCTAAAGAAACAAAGTCATTGTTTTCCCTGCTTTAGTCCATATTCTTTTTCTTATCATTCTCTTTGGAAGGAGAAGAGTACTTGTCCAGGGGATTCTTGTACAGATACTGGCTGAGATAATGATTCCTGAGGTCCCTTCCAACTCCAAAACAGGAAAAGTAGAAATAAAAAACAATAGCAACGATCTGTGCCTTTTAAGCTGTATTAAGGCAAGCATAAAAGCTCCCTCTCTCCCTACCTAATGTCACCCAGCTAATCTCCAATGGTTGTGTGCATTCTATTTCCAACTCTTTTTGTAATAGGCATGGACTTTGTTTTAATAGGTGATTCCATATTGCTAATTCATACCCTGATAGTTTTTGTTTGTTTATTTTGATTATTTTGGGGGTGGGCAGAATTTACTACTGAGAAGTTCAAGAGTAAATGGTAAATTCCTGTATTGAGCACCTCCACTTGCCTTATGAACAATTATGTCGAGAAACAATAAAGATAATCCTTTAAAATTAGTGACAATAACCCAATTCCCTTTCCATGTAAAAAATTCATGCACCTAGTAGACTTTTAATAAGCTAAATTAAATTAAGTTGGTATCTTAGAGTTTTAAAATTCTATAAGACATTTAGAATGCAGAATTACACATCACATCTTAGCAGACCTAGGTAAACTACCAACATCATACATCATTTGCAAACTTACAGGGGATAATCTGGATTAGATGGGAACCTGGCTGAAGGAGGACACTATATAGCAGAGTATAAGGAGATATTTAGGTATCTTTGAGTGATATAAAATGCTGAGCATTTATAAAAGGAAAAACCTCTCCTGAGTACTTTGAATGAATTTAGGCACTGGACAGCCCTTTGGGCCCGACAAGAATTAATCAGTATATATAGATTCTGAAATGGGGATTGAGTGATTAGTCCCAAGACAGCTGAGCTGGCATTCCTCATCCCCAACAGTTTGGCTAGTCAATTGGACCTGGTTGTTCCAATACAACATTATCCTTATTTACATGTTGAATTCTTGTAGTAGAATGTAAGTTCTTCAAGAACAGCTATGGTTTTGTGGGGTTTTTTTAGTTTTGTTTTTCCACTGTATAACACAACCTTGTGCATAAAAAGCAGTCAAGAAATGCTTGTTGGGTACAATTGGATAAGCTTGGATTAGATTGTCTAGGATAGGATTGGACTTGGTAGGAGAAGAGGACCAAAGGAAAGACTATTTTGTTCTTCAGGAATTCTTGTAAGACATGGAAGAGGGAGGTCCCATACCCATCAACCTCAATTAATGCAACTCTTAAGATGCTTTCCTCTTTGATACCATTATCAAGTTAGCTGAGTTAGGAAGCTTTTATGTCTGCCATCTTTAGTGAAGTTTCTTTGATCCATTGTGAATAAGCCAGGACACATTCTTTATGTTTAACAAGCTCCCATTTCTCTTACTCTCCCAAGACTAATACACTGCATCTTTGCCTACTTGAATATCCCCATCATTCTACTTCCACTTCCTATTCTCTCATCCCTATTCTGTCTGTCTGTCTCTGTCTCTGCTTCTCTCTCTCTTACTCTCTCTCTATATATGTTTATATATATATATATATATATATATATATATATATATATATAATATATATATATATATATATATATATATATATATATATATATATCACTTATCTCAATCCAGTTATGCTCACCCTTCTATTGTACCTTAAGAAATTCTTGTCCCACCATTAACAAACATCTCTTCATTTTTTTCACCTCTACCTCCTATGATTCTTCCATCTTCTTACATTCAAAGACTTGGCTTCCCCTGAAATACTCTGCATCCCTGGCCAGGCTTTTCAGTATTATCTTTACAATCTCTAATCCCCCTAGACATTCTCATCCTGGACTCCACATCAGAATACTACTTGTTCAACATTGCCACTTCCAGACAATAACTCACCTTCTCTTGCTTTGTAGGTCACTCTATATATACATACCTCCCTAATTAGACATTTGCGTCAGTTGTTTATTGTCTTTCTGGTCATTCTCTTTCCTTTATGAAGGTGCTTAGTACCTGCCTGGTTCCCAGCCTTGTTCTCTACCCCAATTCTTGTCTTTATATGAAAGGATTGAAAAAGTACTTGAATGTTCCCCCAAACCAGACATACATAACCTGGCAGTAGATAGGGGCCAAAATTAAAATAGGCTAAACTTCTTTGGGCTACAGATAGGTTTTTAGCAACTCACTTTCCAAGTAAAGGTAACTAGATACAGACTGACTATGGTTGGTTGTCACAGATCAAACAAACAGGAGAAAGTGTGCAGTGGTGGGCCACCTGAAATCTTTTGGTGGGCCTCAAATGTCCCCTTGGCCATACATTGTGCAAGCCTGCTGCAAACAAACCAGCTTCACAATTTTTCCATCTCGCTAACTTCCCTGGCCAACCTATCCCTTCTACCTTCAGGAATACACTGGGCTAACCAGACCCTAGACCTCCTGATTATCTCTAGTCTGTGAAAGAAAATTGACCCTTCCTCTCATTGATATCAACCATCCACATGTACCCTTGATCCTCTCATCTCCCATCTTTTCCAGACTATCACCAAGTCATCTCTTCATACATTACAAAACTGCTCATTTATCCCATATCCAAAAATAAAAACATTCACTTTACCTACCATATTGAAACTATTATTATTGTCTGATTATTACTATTCAATAACTCTCTTTCCTTCCACAGTGAAACTTGCAAAAAGGCTAGCTAACCTCCTTGCTTCTATTTTCTAGTCTTGCTCACTTCTCAGCAAATTTAAAATCAGTTTCCACCTTTACCACTCAACTGGAACTGCAACTGCTCTCCACACAGTTCTCAATGAACTCTTAATTGCTAAATCTTATAACCTTTCCTTGGTCTTAACATTTCTAAACCTTTCAGCAGCATTCAACACTGTTGACTATCATACAATGAAATATTTAGAGTTAGAAGGGATATTAGTCCATTCCTCTCACTTTTCAGTTGAGGAAAAAGAATGTTTAAGTGAATGGCCCAGGGTTACATAGCTGAGATAGGATTTTAACTCAGGTCTTTCTAACTCCAAGTTCAGTGACCTTTCTCCATTATATCATACTGGTTTTCTTCCTTGATACTTTCTCCATTAAAGGATATTGATATCATCATCATCATTATCATAATCATTATAAATATATTATAAATGTATACTGCTCTAATTTCTGCTTGCACTTGTCTTTCTTCTTAGTGCTGGATCATCATCTATTTCTCAACCTCTAAGTTTAGGTGTATGCCAAAACTTGGTTCTGGGACCTTATCTCTTCTTGATCAACATTTGCGTATCTTAATGACTTCATCTATCATTAGTCTACTATCATATCTATGAAGATGGCTCATGAACTTTCCAGGTCCATCACTCATATCTCTTCAAAGCTCCAGACCCTCATCACAAATTCCCTACTGTACATCTCTAACTACATGTTGGGAAGTATCCCAACTCTACATTTCCAAAGCAGTATTCATTATTTTTCCTCTACAACTCAAATGTCTTCTGAACATTCATGTTTCTATCATGTATCT